ATAGGCATGTCGCAGCTCCTCGATGCTATGATGCCCACACGTTATCTATGGCAAGCTCAGGTCGCTAGGCTATGGTCTCATCACATCTCTTTCTCTGTCGTCTACCTTCCAGGTTGGGTCATTGGCTCCATCATCGTCGCACGGGGAGTCTGGGCGAATACTAGTGTTGCGATTGTGCTGATATACTTCATACTAGCTGGTCTAGCATTCTGCTCGCTGTCGATTCTCGGCGCCGCATTCTTCAAAAAGTCTCAACTTTCCGGTGTGGTTACGACCATTGTCTATATTCTTCTAGCCATTCTCGCCCAAACTTTGACGTCGCCGAAGACTGCAACAGTCACTGTTCTCAGCTTGCTTTTCACCCCATGTAACTTTGTTTACTTCATGACCTTCATTGCGCGGTGGGAAAAGAGAGGATTCCGTACAGATCTCCTTCATACACCTCCCGGTAACCCATGGGATTTGCCAGGCCTAGTTCTTTGGGTCTTCCTGGTTGTGCAGATTTTTGCTTACCCGATTATTGGTGCTTATCTTGAGCGTGTGTTCCATGGATCTACAACTCATGGCCGCACTATCCTTCGCGGCGAAGCGGCAGCCACAGCTCCCGAATATGCCGTTCGCTTGGAGGGCTTCACAAAGATCTACAAACCTAGTCTCTTGCGGCGAATGTTCTCGTTCATCTCGAGGCCTAGAGATGCCGTGGTGGCTGTTGACAAGCTGTCATTGGATGCAGGACGAGGTCAGATTCTTGTGCTTCTTGGAGCAAACGGAAGCGGGAAAAGCACGACCCTCGACTCGATCGCTGGCATTAGTAAAGTAACAAGCGGTGGTATCACCATCGACGGATCAGGCGGTTTGGGCATTGCACCTCAAAAGAACGTCCTGTGGGACGATTTGACTGTCATGGAGCACATCAAGATTTTCAACCGACTGAAATCGCCTAGGAACACAGCTTCGAAAGAAGAGATTCGAGCGCTCGTCACGTCTGTAGACCTGGCTCTCAAACTCAACGCCAAGTCCAAGACCTTGTCTGGCGGTCAGAAACGGAAACTGCAACTCGGTATGATGTTGACAGGTGGAAGCGCCGTTTGCTGCGTAGACGAGGTCTCATCCGGAATTGACCCATTGTCACGCCGTAAGATCTGGGATATCCTTTTGGCTGAGCGAGGCAAACGTACAATTATTTTGACGACTCATTTCCTCGACGAGGCAGATCTGCTTGCTGATCACATTGCCATACTCTCAAAGGGTACTCTCCGGGCTCAAGGGTCATCTGTCGAGCTCAAAGAGAGGCTGGGCTCAGGTTACCGCATTCATGTTTTCAATGCCAAGGAGAACCAGGACTCCCCTGAGATTGATGGTGTCAAACGAGTGAAATCTTTTGACGTAATCAGCTATCTGGCACCCTCTTCCAACCTCGCTGCTCAAGTCATTCGCGCTTTGGAGGCTGCAGGTATCCACGATTATAAATTCTCGAGTCCGACAATCGAAGATGTGTTTTTGCAGGTCGCCGAGGAGGTCAAGAACGAGACGGTCAGAACGGCCATTTCTGAGTCTACCGACGAGAAGAACACTTCATCGGAAGATATCGGTGTAATGGGAGTTGAACCTGAGAAAGACAAACTCGAGCTGCTCTCAGGTCGACCTATTGGCTTCTTCCGACAGACGGTAGTCTTGCTACAGAAGCGAGCTACAGTTTTCAAAACGAACTGGTTTCCTTACGTTGCTGCCCTCCTTATTCCCATCGTTGCAGCAGCATTGGTCTCACTTTATGTGAAGAATCAAACTCTCATCAGCTGTACTCCCAATGATGGGGATGCTGCTGGGAGCACATCTGATTATTCAGCCCTATACGATAACTTGTACCTCGTAGCCGGTCCCTCCTCAGATTTTGATACCGCTACACTGTCAACCCTGTTTACGCCGGTTCTTTCAGGCTCAGACGGTAACTCTGGCAGCGCGCAGAATGCGACCAACAATTTTGCTAAAGCTCTACACCTTGTTGATAGTTACGCTGATTTCAACAATGATGTGATTCAGTATCGTCAAAACATCACGCCCGCTGCGTGGTGGGTTGGCGACGACAGCTCGCCTCCGACCGTTGCTTATCTGGCCGACAGTGAGGACGTGTATACCTCAGTCTTTGGCCAGAATGCCCTCGACATCATCCTTTCCAACACAAGTATCGCAACAACATTCTCTCCATTTGCCTCATTATTTGTTCCCGGTACAGGCAACTCTTTACAGTTGCTTGTCTACCTCTGTCTCGCATTATCTGCCTATCCTGCCTTCCTGGGTTTATATCCAAACGTGGAGCGGCGACGCAATGTTCGCGGTCTACAATATTCCAACGGTGTGCGCTCCCTTCCGCTGTGGTGTGCATATGTCGCTTTCGACTTCAGCATAGTTATTGTGTCATCGGCGGCCGTAGCCGGTATTTTTGCATCAACAGCAGACGCATGGTACCATGTCGAATACATGTTCCTCATATTTTTACTCTACGGACTAGCATCAATATTGCTGTCATACGTCATCTCATTATTTTGTAACAACCAACTGTCCACTTACGCCTTCAGTGCCGCTGGGCAAGCTGTGGGATTCCTGATTTATCTCATTGCTTATTTGGTTGTTCTCACTTACACCCAAATCAACAAGATTGACCAGAATCTTCTGATTGTGCATTTTGTTATTTCGGCCTTTGTTCCGATCGGCAACGTGGTTCGTGCTCTGTTTGTTGGGTTGAACTTGTTCTCGACTACATGCGACGGGCAGCAGTTCCGCAGTAACCCGGGCGATATCCTTAACTATGGTGGACCTATTCTCTACCTGATCTTACAATGTGTCATCCTTTTCATTGTACTTTTGTGGCATGACAGTGGCGCCGGCAGAAGCTTCGTCAGCCGCTTGACACAGAAGGCCATCAAACCTAAGACGGAGCCATCCTCGTCAGACGACGAAGAGGTTGCGCACGAACTTGACCGCGTCACAAGCAGCCCTTCTCAAGATGATGGTCTACAGACCCTGCATTTGACGAAGACATTTGGCAAGTTCACGGCCGTCGACAACGTCACATTTGGTGTCAAACATGGGGAGGTATTTGCGCTTCTTGGACCTAACGGAGCGGGCAAATCCACAACAATTTCCCTGATCCGTGGTGATATCCAGCCCAGTCGAAATGGCGGCGATATTATGGTCGAGAATACTTCCGTCACCCGCAGTCGTGCCACCGCCCGATCCCACTTGGGGGTGTGTCCCCAGTTTGATGCCATCGACTCGATGACAGTCGAAGAGCATCTAAGATTCTATGCACGAGTTCGTGGCATTCCTGACGTTGAGCACAACGTGCGCGCTGTGCTTCGAGCTGTCGGCCTCGAGGCGTTCTCGACTCGTATGGCCCATGCGCTTTCAGGAGGCAACAAGCGCAAGCTCTCGCTCGGTATTGCGTTGATGGGTAACCCTAGCGTTGTCCTGCTGGACGAGCCCTCTTCTGGTCTCGATGCTGCAGCGAAGCGTATCATGTGGCGAACGTTGGGCGCTATTGTTCCTGGACGGTCGATCCTCCTTACGACGCATAGCATGGAAGAAGCCGACGCCCTGGCTAGCCGCGCGGGAATCCTAGCGAAGCGAATGCTGGCCATGGGGACCATTGACAATCTCCGCGAGCGCTTTGGAGATGCGGTCCACGTTCATCTCGTTAGCAAATCGGCGCCTCACTCCACCGATGAGGAAATGGATCGCATGCGTGAATGGGTCGTGAAGACTCTTCCTGGCGCCGTCGTCGAGTCCAAGACATATCACGGGCAGATGCGGTTCTCAGTCCCAGGTAACTCCATTGGGGGCCGCGACGCTACTGCCAACAGTGCCGTGGGCAAGCTTGTCGTCATGCTTGAGGAGCAGAAGGAGAACCTTAGAATTGAACATTACTCATGCACGCCGACTACGCTCGATCAAGTCTTCCTCACAATCGTGGGAAGACACAATGTCCAGGAGGAGGGATACACGGAAAAGAAGAAACCGTGGTGGAGGAGATGATGTGGTCTTGGATTTACTATATTTCCGCTTTGTACATATCTTCGACGACGAGCGGATTTAGTTTGAGATTTGTTTTTGTGCTCATAGGCAGGAGGAACCGCCTCTACATCTGCGTGAGATGGGATATGGCGTTGGGACTTGTGAACTGGTATAGAGACATGCAAAGCATATATATGCAATAGATTCCCCTTTGTTTTTCTTGCTCATTTCGCTCAGACTTGGTCTTATTGGGAGGGTGGCGGTGAATATGTAGTCTGGTTTTATGCGTAGTTCTACGTTAAATAATGCGACTGGTCTTCAATGTTGTCGACCTGATGGCCCCGACATGCAAGTCAGTTGTCTCGTGTCGGAGCAATCGCTCAGGAAATCGAATCTGTTTGCCTGTGTTCCCGCCAACTCGGCTTATCGCTACGTCTCTATAGCTTAGCTCACGAACTCCTATGCATTTCGAAATTTGAAACGCCACCAACTACAGTATACAACACGGATATAATACCAACCAGCGGATTTTGCTTCAACATCGATGCCTTGCTAAGGATGCTGGTTTTGGGGCGCCTGTTGCCGCCAACTGGATCTCTGTCACTGGGTCTTAGACATTGTCCAGGACAGTGGCTATAGTCTATGAGTCTTCTAAAAGCGTTGTCTGTCGGTCTATGTCGCTCTACTTTCTCGAGTTAAGCATAGGTAAGTACCTAAGAAATTAGCAATGAAAACCCGAGTGTCCAACTTACCTAATTGCTCAAGTGAGCCGACTTGTGTCTACACGTGCATCAGTCTCAGCTTACAGACAGTTTCTTACTAATACAGCCAGGGGTTCTCATGCACATATATGCCTCTAGCCCAACCACTATCGACCCCGGATAATCCGAGCCATTACCAAGCATTAAGGAAGCACAGCATCAACATCTTCAACATTCTTCTGTAAATCACGAACATTACTCCATAAGCTCTCAACAATAAGCATTCATGGTCGGTTAGCTCAGTTGGTTAGAGCATCGCAATAACATTTCTTCTCTTCCGAGAAGATATACCTGCGAAGGTCATAGGTTCAATCCCCATACTGACCAGTTCTCTTTTGCTCCATGCCCATAGGTATTCTTTTCCCTCCTTTTCCCTTCCTTCTGGCCCTCGGAGTAAGACAAAGTAAGCTCTCGCTTCTCGTACTGGGCTCTACTCTCCATGCATAGACACTTAGAACCCTTTCTCGACCTGAGGTCCTTTCCTAATTCTGTCACGGACGTTACTGCCCTCGTGATAGGAACATTGTGTTTTTACGACAATTAGTTACAGGACAAGCAAAGTTGGGACTATCCCAATGTAATCGTACCCGCTACTATCCTCGATTGCTTTAGCTGGCTGCAGGTGATTATTAGATCTCGTATAGTTATGTCTCTTTCGAAAGGGCCAATGATCCATTTCGACTCAGATTCCACCCCTATGATAGTTTTGCACCTTGTAATTGAAACTCATCACACGTTGTTTAAGACTATTACCACCTTCGGGTTCCAAAACCATCAGTTTAGGAACTCGCGCCATATTCATGGCTTCGTGTGAAACGCATGGTATAGTTATACATATATACATGTCAATGTCGTCGAGCGCGTCTGCTTCAAACACTAGTAATGGATCTTTGCTCTACACATTGCTATTTGTGAGTAGAGGTGGACGCAACAATGACATATGCAACAACTTTCTACTCACTTCATGTGGCTTTTCACAGCGTGGGTAATCGAACTGGCAATTGGTGTATTTGTTGTTTTCTATAGAACGCGCGGCCCTCTCCACCAGGATCTATAGAAAGCGCAATAAACAGGCGCATCTCCAAATGCTAGTTAAGCTGACACCATTACCGACTGAGATCGTGGCTCAATAGCGAGCGCCATAGTATACTCGATCACTAGAGTTTCGGACGGATAAAAAGAGGGGAATATGAACCATCTGAACACTATTTGACTTTGTTGATGGCCCTCTTGATCACTATTGAGCAGCATCACTGCCCCGTGTTGTGAGACATGGCACATCACAGAATAAGTGATGCACCAGTTAGCACTACCTCCATGATGACTCTGTTGGGGAAATCATAATAAGGACGAGGATTTAAACTGTAGCCGTAAGGTCAACATTTACAACTAGCTACCTTGTCTTAAGAAATTATATCAAACGTTTATTTCAACTGTTATCGGACAAATGCGAGCTGCAGAAGAGTGCCTGTCACTTTTTTGCACTATAGCCTGCATGACTGCGTTCTTTCTAGACAGAATATCATCTTGGTAGCAGAGAGATACTATCATAATTATCCAGAGCAACGGACGTTCTATCCTCAATTTCCTGTCGATAGAATCTATCCCGTTGTTTATTGACCACCCACCGAAACTATAAATGTATCACCGATTTAATACGGAAGACTCGCCTCTGGTTGAACGAATTATACGTCCGACTGATAATCATGGTCCTATTAAATGGCGTCACATGTTTCATTTCACTTACAATAGGAATAGCAGAGCAAGACGTTCAGCGTTGAGTTTTTGTTTTAAGAACTAAAGTCCGAGTAAAATGAATATCCGTATTCGGACTTATACGTCGCACGGTGCCCTACATATCGTATTCGGTACAATTCTTGGCAAGGAGGATAGAGAGTCAGACCGCTTAGTAATCGCTGGGAACGAAAATTACGACCGAGATCGCGGAGTTTCGTACTGCTAAACGAGCACCAGGTACGACGAATACGACGCGAAGGTACAACAAGCCAAAAAACTTATGATTCACGAACATTTCGATGTTTATATTCTCCAGATCATCATTGCCGCCATAAAATAATGATATCTACTCTCTCGCCAGTCAACCGATTAGCTTCAGGGAATTTCGAAGACCTCTACGTTGCGAACCCTTCATCAACATCGCATGTATCTTCACCATCGGAAGACTTTGTCTTGCGTAACCCACGTTCAGGATGCCGAGCTTTCTCTCCGTGATCTTCGGGTCGTCGAATAAAGGCGGTGCCACATTCGAAGCCAAACGGGATATCCCATCCCTGGCGGGAAAAGTGGTGCTAATCACCGGCGCCGCAGGCGACTTGGGCAGACAGACGGCAACAGAGCTGTCGCGATACGGACGGCCGGCCCGTCTGTACATCGCCGACCTTCCACGCGATGAAGCTGCAAAGAAAGAAGTCACCGAGCGTGTCTCGCGTGACGCGTACAGCGAGGAGAACACCAAGGAAGGCGAAACTAGTGCCCGAACGGAAGTCCACTTTCTAGACCTAGATCTGTCGTCCTTTGAAAGCATCAGAAAATGCGCCACTGAGTTCTTTGCAAAGGAGAAACGACTGGATATTCTTGTTTTGAACGCCGGTATAATTAGTGTCCCACCGAGAACGACGGGGCAGAATTATGAAATTCACTTCGGAATCAACTACCTCGGGCACACGCTCTTCACGCGACTGTTGACACCAGTGCTGTTACGAACGGCGGAGGAGGAGAAGGCGGCTGTGCGCGTCGTGGCCGTGTCCAGCGAAGGTCATACCGTGACACCCAAAGGCGGGATCCAGTTTGACAGACTAAAATCTCCCATGAATGGATTGGTACGTCCTTCATGTCCATCGTAATTTGCTCACGATGGTCTGCCATATTTGTCCGCTAACCATAGACTCCCCTCACAGTCATGGACCTCTCGATACGGGCAGAGCAAATTGGCGCTCCTCGCTTTGACACGAGGGCTCGCCAAACGCTATCCACAGATAACAGTTGCGGCTGTACATCCCGGCCGGGTCATCACGGGCATGGGTGACAAGCTTCGTGCAGAAAGCTTTCTCATACGCATGACGAAGCCGATCGCGCCGCTGGTTGCAGTTCCCGTGACTGTTGGTGCCAGGAATCATCTTTGGGTTGCTACTAGTCCCCAGGTGGTGAGTGGCAGCTACTACGAACCTGTTGGTGTGTTAGCTGAAGGATCAGCCTTGTCAAGAGATGAGAAGCTCATTGAGAAGCTCTGGGAGTGGACTGATGCCGAGCTCATAGGACAGGACTCGCTCGAGTAGACTCGTGTCGAAAGCGTCACCTGAGGGATGGATGATCGAGATTTAACATTCAGAATCCGTGATGTGATGGATCTTTTTTGTTGCTGCTTTCCCTGATAGCCCCGTTTGAGTTCTCAGATAGATTGATACCTTTTGTCTTAGATAGTAGTAATTGTAGAGTTTATCCATTGGCCAAGCATGTCTCATCTGCAGGTGTCGGACTTGCGACAACACGTTTTTCGTGGGGTACTCTGGGCATGTGCACCCACTTCAAGGGTTGTATCATCTCGAGATTTGCCATGCGATCTGATTTTATCTAGAAACTAGATCTTGAGGGACTGCTTATGTCGATTCCCCACGTTATTCATGATACTGAGATACAACACGTGCGGGCACTATGCTTGGAATAATGTCGTCACCTTGTCTCGCGCTAGCTATGTGCGAGTATACGGCTGACCTTCAGCTGCCACGTCAACCTAAGACACAGCCTTAAGTTCAGCGTAAATACATTATACAACCTGTTCCTTATTGGGCGTCTAGTTGGGTAGAGGTTGGGGGCTGCGGATGTATTTTGACATTGTCAGCTCCGGTAACAACACAACGGCCTACACTCCCAGCAGGGAAATTGGGAATGAAAATTTAATCGGTATTTTTTTTTTTGTTACATCCTCTTTCTTGTCTCTCTATATTATTCCATTTAGCACCCTAGAGGCGAGCTGGAAACGCGTCTACGAGACTTGTCAAATCGAGAACCCACATCGTGCTGAGTGTATGTGTGATGTTACCGCCCAATTGAAGCGTCGGCCCTACGGTCCCGCGGCCTGGATGGCACGGAAGTGCTTCTGTATCCGGTACCTATCTTGCTTCAACTCTGGGCGAGCTGCCTTACCAGGAGGCGACCCGAATCTTTATCATAGCCGTTGTTACATGGCGGGCTTAGCCGTCGGAGTGGCGTGCTCAATTATCAGCCCCATGGCAGATTGATCGGGACACTGCTTATCTCTTTGCCTGTTGAGATCTGGAGAATGGCGCGGGCTAAATATTCCATTGCCAGGGGAGAGATCATCAGTATTTCCCAGTAAATGTGCCAGTAACTATGATTATATATTTTTTTAATTCTATTTCTATTTTTATTTTATTTTTATTGTTGAATGTCGCCTTTGCGGGATGTCTTGAAAGCTGCCGCATACGTACGCATACCCTCCATCACGGATGTAGGTAGATACTCACCCCAAACGACCGGAACATAAGGCACAAACACTGCGCATCGTTGGGGTCAGATGGACGCTGTTGTATATACCTGGGCTGGCTGTTTTGGAGGCCAAGATAATACTGTTTTAATTGGTCTCCAGCGTGTCGTCTAGGTAGACATAGCCCCCAACGCTCTACATGCAGACCAAGTCGCCTTCTGTTTTAATAAGTGCTCTGTGACTCACCTGAGCATCCACGGTCGACAAAGCGATCAGAGGGTGGCAACGGAGCCCACCGACGCTGCTATATCCAGTGCCAACTCATCAAGGTCGCTGTAGGAGGCCCGTCACATGTATGTGGTGTTTGGCGGCCGGCGAGGAGAGGGGCCTATCGGGTGGGAAAGGAAGGTGAGGTCCTACGCCCATCTCCCCCACCTCCGTCATCTCCATCTTGGAGAAGCTGCCAATTCGCTCGTTTGCCGAGCTCCCCAACTTGGTCGACGGAATTGCTGAGGCACGCTATTTTTCACCGCCTTCGCAGCCTGCAGCAAATTGTGGTCATCTGTCTTCAAATTGATGAGCTGGCAGACCACCCTGTCCATCACCTGTTTCTGATAGCAACAGCATAGGTATCTCGACGAGGCGACAGAGTGAACTGACAATGTATTGAAAATTGTCGGCGGTAAAATAGAAAAATGAAAGAATTCAAATACTGTGGAAAATAAAAATAAAAATGAATTGATTGTGTCGAGAAAACAAACCCCACAAGAACGGACACAAGGACTGACATGCGAGAGGAAAAACTACAACCACGAGCGGGCGATTAACCCGTACGAGCTGTGCCTTTCTGATCTAGCTTTTC